TTTATACATTCATTTTTATTTATTCGTTGAAAAAAATTTATTGATAGCAATTTATTTTAATCATTTCATTTTTATTTCCTTTCTTTATTTCTTTTTACATCATCAATAATTAAATAAAATATTTAGGAATTAAATTAACCTTCATTTTTTGTTTTTCCTTTTTGTTACTAATTTTTTTAAGTATTTTTAAGTAGTCAAGTATTCCTATTTCTAAGTATTTAAGCATTCTTTTTTTTTAAAAATTTCTTTCATCTTATTTTTTACTTCCACTTCTAAACAATACCTTTTTTTTCTTTAAAAAAAAGACATTATTTATTAATTAAATTAAATTACAACAAATATATTGTCTTAATGGTTTTTCAACCATTTAGAAGAGAAATTTTTTTTTTTTTTTTTTTTGTAGAACTGTTTGAACTTTTCTAAAGATAAACAAATAATCAAAAAAAAAAAAAAATTTTTTTTCTTAATAAAAAAAAGAAATTAAAAAATTGAGAATTTTCAACATTCAATTTAAATTTTTTTTTCTAAAAAACAGAGGAAATTCAAACATAAATAATATTTTCCTATTATTCAACAATGGTAAATGATAATCTTTAATTGATAATTTCTATTTTAAAAAATAAATTTCTTAATTAGTCTTTATTGAAATTTTAAAATAACCACACAAAATTTTTTAAATTCAATAAAACTTGTAAAAAAGAAATGAATAATAAAAATAAAAATTCACTTCTATTAATGATTTATAATTTGGTGATAATATTAATAAAAAGAAAAGATATAATTATTTAATAAAGATGTCCTAAAATTTAACAGTGATTCATTTTGACCTTGTCACCAGTAAATGTCACCTTTTGTCATATCGTAAGGTCACAAATGTTCAACATTATCTTTTCTCTCTTCTCTATCCATTTATATGTTCTCCTCACATTATTCAAAATTTTATTTAAATTTAACAATTGCTAAATTTATCCTCAAAAAAAAAAAATGATTCGATCGATCTAATCAATCACTACTGATTGGATCAATCGATCTAATTAATTCATTCAGTCAATACATCTATTTTTCTAATATTATTGCTAATTTAGCAAAATTTTCTCACTCATTTCTAATTCATAAATTACAATTTTACTTTATCAATTATATCATTTTTTTTAACATTTAATTCTATTTTATGCATAACCTTTCATCCATCTTTTTATCATTCTTATCATTTTATCAATTTTTGAATTAAAACTCTACCAAATCATTCTTTCTAATTTTCTAATTTTTTATTCTTTTTTTTTTAGTTTCTCAACATTATTCTCTTATTTGGGTCTTCTTTCTTCCTTTTTTCTACTACTAAAACAAAAAAAAGACAATCCAACAAATTTAAATAATTTTTGATAAAATTTATAAATTTTTAGCTATTCGTTCCACAACCACTAAATTACAAGTGTTAAAATGCTTTATTAGGCTAAGCAATTCTGTTGATATTTTTGATCGATTTAATTCAAATTGTTTTTGTCACTTTTGTTTTTTTTTTCTTTTCGAAAGTTTGTCTTCAGATTTTAACTTTATTATTATTGATTAAATTATAATTATTATTAATTAATTAATTAAGATTTAGAAAGACATATTCATAGTTTATTAAATTCCGAATTAATAGAAAAACAAACATCTAAACAAGCACATTTACGTCAAAAATAAGCACACATACGCACATATCATTAAATATTTATTACTTAAATAATTATTATTAAATATTTGCTTTTTTTGATCAATTTTTTCTCTCTTATTAAATGTTATTTTACACTTTTCTTACGTAACGTATACTTGTAAATACGTGTGAGTGCATTTACGTAAAGAGCGTAAAATTTGATTAAAATGAAAGAGAGAAAATGAATTAATTATTTTATACTTATTAATTTTAAAAGAAACATTGAACAAACATTTGATATTTTATTAGCTATTCTCTGATATATATTTAAAATTTTTCTTTTCTAAAAAGTCAAATTTTTGTATTTTTTAATGTAATATTTTCTTTCCAGCATAATAATCATTTCTTGCTTTTATTGCTAATTTAACAGTTTAAAAGTTGGAAGAAAAAAAGTTTTAAAAGAACAAACAAATAAATAAATAAAACATTTATATGCATTAAGCTTACATATATAGCATGCTTATGTGTAAACATGAATGCAATGCAACATGCATACTGCAATAAACAGTAGTCTTGCAAATAGCATAATGAATGCATATCTGTTGTGTGCATGCATTTTTTTTTGTAACGTATCTATTGCATGCATGCATGCATGCATTTTTTATTACAATCAAAAAAGCATACATTCTATTATGTGTATTTATTAATGTATGTATGTTTATTTTTGTTCATCTAATGGATCATACCTGTGGCCTTATTGATTGATTGATTGATCAGGTGATAACTTATCTGTACCAGTTGAATCAGTACTGATTATGTGTATTTATCCTAATTGATCAGAAGAGAGGAGATGGCGTAACTGTATTTATTGATTGATTGATTAACTCGGATCATATTTTATTGATTAACGGATCAAACATTTTCAGTGTTTTTTTTTAGATTGATAAGAAATCATTTATGTAATTTAAATAATTTAAAATGAATTAATTGATTTAAAAGAAATTATTATGTGCAAACTTCAGTGCTGTTTTTGATATTTGATATGAGTAAAATTGAAAAATATAGGAGAGAGAGAGAGAGAGAGGGTGAGAGAGAGAGAAAGAAAGGGAAGAAAGTTTTATTTTCTCGTTTTCTTCGCTTCTTTTTACTCAGTTAATTTCTATTTTTCTTTCTTTTCCTATATTAATGGATCAGTTTGTGAAAAACTAAAAATTGTTTCATTTAAATAATAAACAAGAAAAAGAATTTTTAAAAAAGAAAGAAGAAAACCTCAAACTAAACAACAAATTTTGTAATTTAATTAAAGAAAAGTAAAATAAATAAAAAGTAGAAAACAAGAGAAAAAAATGTGAAAATAAAAGGAAAAGTAAGGAAATAAGATAAAAGTAACGAAATGTGATGAATAAATTTAAAAAAGAAAACGAAAGTAGGAGAGGGAGAGAGGGAGAAAGAGGAAGAGAAATAGTGAGAAAAAGGATGAGAAGGAATCAAAAGAATTAATAAAATTATTATTGGTATTCCATTAATTTTGTGATCATTTAATTAATTCCATTTTGTATGATAATTAAATGATTAATTAATTTCACTAATTAATTAAGATGATTGAGTACCATAATTGGATGCAAAAGAAGCAGAAATAAGCTGGCAAAGTTGATTAATTTTTTTTTTTTTTTAATCATTCATTCAACATCATCATCATCATCGTCATCATCGTTATTCATTGTTATTAATCATCATCATCGTCATCATCGTTATTCATTTCTATTAATCATCATCATCGTCGTCATCACTATCATCATCATCATTCATCAAATTTGTATTTTATTTCATTTTGTTTCGTTGCGATAAAACTGCGATATGGATGTCTTTTTTTAATGGGAAAAGGAATATTGAAGTAAAAAAAAAATGTATATATAAAACTTATAGCAATAACAATAATAATAACAACAATAACAATAAGGCGACAACAACAACAACGACAATAACAGCAGTACCGACAACAACAACTGAAAGCAAAATTAAATATAAGAAAAAAGGAATAATGTGAAAGGATGGATGTTATAAATGCATATAAAATATCGATAACAATGTTATTAAAGAAAAGAAAATTCAATCAATTAAATGATATAGTGATATAACATTATCGTTATCATTATCATCATCATTATCATTGTCGTTATCACTATTTATTATTATCGTTGTGATTATCATAATCAATAATAATAGCAGTGGAAGGAGCAATATAATCATCATCCTCAACAATATTAAACATCAGTAAGAGTAGCAGTAACATTACTGCAACAATAACAACAATAACAATAACAACGACAACAACAACAACAACAGTAGCAGCAGCAGCTGTATCATGATGATCAACAACAGGATGATAATGATGATGATGATTAATCCTAACATTTCATTGGTTCAGCAGAAGTCTTTTCATATTTTTCTGGAAGCAAACAGCTGTTATCTTCGTTGTCGATCAAATTTGAGATATTTTGTCCTTCCATCAGTTAGAAAGCTTTTTTATTTCAATCGAAGTTTCAATTTTGAATTGTGTTCTTTTAGTACAAACTGTAATAGTAATGTTGCAATATTATATTTTATCATTTCATTCAATCATTTCAAATTCATTCATTCAAATTACAATCATTTAAATTGTTTATTAATTACTAAACAATGGAAATTTTCATGGATAAATTTATTACAATTATACTATAATTATTTGTGGAAAAATATTATTATCAATTCTCAATATTTGATTCCATTTTATACAAATTCTGGCATATTATTAAAAAATTATTATCAATTATTATTTGCTAATTTAATATATTTTTTTCGCTATAAATTTACACATATATTATCACGTATTATTGATAATTTTTATCATATTTTACGTGATAAACAACGAAATATTCATTATTTGCTTCTTTCAACTGCACATTCATTTTTGAAATATTATCATCATCGTTCAGCATTTTCCTTCACACAAACTTCTCTGCTATCAAATTTATCATCTTATCAATACTTTCAATGCCAGAATTGTAGTAATTCTTGTTATTGTACCACTAATACTACCACTCCTACTCCTACTACTACTACTACTAGTACTGCTACTACTATTACTACTACAACAACTACAACTGCTACAACAATCACTAATCCTCCTACAACAACAATTACTCCTACTACTACTACTGCTACTACTACTAGTAGTGCTACAAGTATTAGTACAAGTAAAAATAGTACTAATATTGTTAAATCTCTTATTGCTTCTATATCTATATCAGTAGTTAAAATTATTAATCCAATAATACAATTATTATTTAATAAACGATTAAATTTTTTAAAACAAAAAATGTCAATGTTATATAAATTGGATAGTATAGTACAAGAGGAAGAAGATGATAATAATGTAACATTTCGTTTATATGGTACAAATATACCAGTAAAAGAAGTATTAACAAATACAGATGATAATACAACAACAGTTATTATTGGGTATAAATCACCAGATAGTAGTAATAATACTAAAAATATTATTGATAATAAAAATGACTTATCATCATCATCATCATCATCAACACAATCGTCGTCATCATCATCACCATCACAATCATCATCAGCAACAGCAACAACAACAAAAAAATCAACAAAATCACCATCGATTAACTGTGATAATCATAATTATGAAGTTAATTTCGATACAACCGTTTCAGCATCTGTTGTTTTATCAAAGAAACGTAGCATATCCAGTAGTAAAGTTACCGATGGTGATCAGATACAAGCAAATTATTGTAAGTTACTTTACTTTTTTTTTTTTAACAAGAAAAAAAAAGAAGAGTAATTTGTTCCATTTCTTTTATATATCTATTTAATTTTCTGCTTTTTTTTTCTTCATCCCTCTGATTTTTTTTTTTTTAAATTTTACTTATCATCTCTTTTTCTTCCTTTTTTTTTTTGCTTAGAATGTCAATATTTCAATTTGTTTGTTTGTTTGTTTTTTTTTTACTTTTAAATGCATTCATTTAATTTTGTAAAATGTAAATATGGAAAGAAAATTTTGCAATTTAATTTTTACATTTTAATTTGATAAGTTAACGTATTCATTCATTCATTCAGTGTTCCTTTTCTTTTCTTTTTTTCTTTGTTTATGAATCGTTTAATTTTTAATTAATTTTTATCATTGCTACGATGGATCTCATTTGCAATATTAATGTTAAAGGAGTAAAAGAAATTGAAATAGATTTTGGGAATTTTAAATTGTTGTAAAAATTAATTTTGCACAAAGGTAAATTTAATAAATTACTTTTAAACAATTTATTGCTCACTTTATTATTAATTTAATTACCGTATAATTTTCATTTATTCACAATTTATACATTTTATTTTTGTTTCCAATCTATTAATTTCAAATATTTTCTACAAAGTAAAATAATAAAAATATCTCAAATTTATAATTAGTTTTTATAATTTTACCCATTAATTATTACAACAATAACCTAAGTAAACTAATAAAATGCCCTAATTAATAGTTTACCAATAATAATATATTATCTAATAATAGTAAATTAAGTTTTATTGTAGAGAAAAATGAATTTTTGATTCACAATTACTTGAAATAATACAAAAAGATAATAGAAATTTAAAATATTAATATAATATAAATTATATTAATTATTTATTACATTTTATCATCAAAAATTCAATTTACTTTTTAATTTTTTAATCATTTAATCAACAAACATTTTTTGTTCATTTTTTTTTTTTTTTTTTTTTTAAGAGAGCGAAGTATTTCTTTATGGTAAATAAGTGATTCTTCTATACTTTCTTTTTTTTTCTCAAATTTAATTAAGTAATTTTTCTATTTCTCAATATATTTACTATTTAAAGAAATGAAATATCTTTGTATTCTTCTTTAAAAGTCGATTTGCTTTTTTTTTTCTCTCTCTCTCTCTCTCTCTTCTTTTCTAGAAAAAAAAATAAGTAAAGAAAAATTATTGCATTAAATTATTATGATAAGATATTCTAAATAAATATCCCTCTTTTATCTCTGTTAATATAAAGATGAAAAATTTTTTAGAATGAATGATTAATTCAAATTTTTGAAAAAATTTTTCTTTCTTTTACAATTCATTCATTACAATTTAAATTATTGTTTTAAATATTTGATAAAATTGATTTAAAAAAAAAAAAAAAAATGAAAAGCCATTTTCAATCTCTTTCAACATTATTTGTTTTAAGAAAAAAGAGAGAGAGAGAAAGTGAAAAAAGTGTTTTTTTTTTCTGTTTGTACTTTATTTTTTCTTTTCTTTCTTTCTCTCACCCTCTCTCTCTTAATTTTTTTCTTATTCGTTTTGATAACAATTTAAAAGTAAATATATTTCTTTTAAAACAGCTGTTTCAACATAATATAACATATATACATTATGTATCACATCCTTTACTCTTCATCCATTACTTTTCTTTATTAACTTTGTAAAAAGTTAAAAAAATTTTTCAAAGTAAAAGAAAAAAAAAAGAGAAAAAAAGAATGTGAAGAAAGCTGAAACATTTTTGTGTAATAATTTTAAATTATACAACTGTTGTTTACTGCTTTCTTTTCTATAATTTAAAATATTAAAAAAACAAAAAAGAAGAAAAAAAGAAAAACGAAAAAAAAGTTAAAAGTAAATGGAAAATTTTTAACAATTTCTTCCGATTAAAAAAAAATTTTTTTCTTTTTTTAATTTTATCTTTTATCTTTTTTTTTGCTGTTCCCATTTGGCAATAAATTTTTGCACATTGTATATTGATAATTAAATTTTAAAAATCATTTAATTAAATGACTAGTGTCAATTTTTCTACATTAATTAATCTTGGTAAGTAAACTTAAAAATTACTTAATTAATTAGCTTATACTAAAGTATTAGTTATTGATGTTTATTTGAATGGTAATTGAGTGGAATTTGTTTGTTGATAATGCTAGGTACTACTGATAAATGAAATGATAAATGCTTTTATCAGTGCTATTCAATTCAGTGATCTTTGACAAACACTTTAATGGTATAAATTTAATTGAATGCTTCGAAATGCTTAAATATTTATTGAAATGATAGGATGGAATTGCGGTAGAGGGAAAATTGATAAAATATCATTTGTTGAAGTAAATTTTAATGAATAACAAAAATTAAATTTTAAATTAAATAATATTAGAATATAATAATGAATTTTATTTTTATCAATTTTCGTTTTTTTTTGATCAAATTGTGTTATGTTTTATATTTATTAATTTTTTAGTTCCACTCAATATTACATATATCTATTTTTATTTGCTTTTTAAATAGTAATAATAGGTGATAAGTTTTTAAGTAATAATAGGTTATAGTTTTGTAAGTAATGATAAATAAAAAATTATGTCAAATACTAATAAGTTGATAGGTGATATGTTTTTAAGTAATAATTTATAGTTTTGTAAGTAATGATAGGTTTATGTCAAATACTAATAAGTTGATATGATAAGTTTTAAATAATAGGTTATAGTTTTGTAAGTAATGATAAGTAAAAAATTATGTCAAATACTAATAAGTTGATAGGTGATAAGTTTTTAAGTAATAATAGGTTATAGTTTTGTAAGTAATGATAGGTAAAAAATTATGTCAAATACTAATAAGTTGATAGGTGATAAGTTTTTAAGTAATAATAGGTTATAGTTTTGTAAGTAATGATAGGTAAAAAATTATGTCAAATACTAATAAGTTGATAGGTGATAAGTTTTTAAGTAATAATAGGTTATAGTTTTGTAAGTAATGATAGGTAAAAAATTATGTCAAATACTAATAAGTTGATAGTTGATAAGTTTTAAGTAATAATAGGTTATAGTTTTGTAAGTAATGATAGGTAATTTCAAATACTAATAAGTTGATAGGTGATAAGTTTTTAAGTAATAATTATAGTTTTGTAAGTAATGATAGGTAAAAAATTATATCAAATACTAATAAGGTGATAGGTAATAAGTTTTTAAATAATATTAAGTTATAGATTTTTAAGTAATGATGGTTAAAAAATCATATCTATATATTAATAAGTAGGTTTTCTTTTCTTTTTTCTAAACAACAAAGTTATTTTAATATTTCATACTTATATTATCCATTTTAATTTATCTTTTAATAATTAAATAGATAAAATTATACAAAATAATCTTTTAACAATAATAATAAGCAAAATTTTATAAAACAATATCACAGTTTATGGATAAAATTTTATTATACAGTCATTTTTTTTTATTTCACTGATATTATCAATTTTATTTTATTTTTTCTTGTTTTATCAATAATAATCAGATAAAATTATTCCAAAACATTAAGTTATCACCAAAATAATAGCTAATATGTTTACTGTTTATATTACTTTTATTATTTACAAATTTGCTAATACATTTTTTTTCCTTTCTTTCTTTTTTTTTTTTGCTATTCAATAGAATCTATTTTTATCACTGATAATTAAATTAGATTGTTAGGATGAAATTTAGAAAAAAAAGAGAGAGAGAGAGAGAGAAACATAGAATTAACAATAAATAATTGATTTTTATCCTTTTTTTTTTTCTGTGTATTTTGTGAGAAGTTAGCATTAAAAGATGATAATTAAATTTTTGATTATAATTAAAATTTTTTAATCGTTCCTCTTTTTTTTTTTCGTTTTAGTTTTTCTTTTTTTTTTTTTTGATGTCATTTTTTAACGAATGATTTATTTTTGAATATTATTCTTTGTGCTTTTTTTTACTTTCTTTTTTTTTTTTCCTTACTTTTGTAAAAAATAAAAAGGAAAAAGAAGGATTATTAATAAAATTAACAAAAATTAAAAAAATGTATTTTCCACTTCTTTTTTTTTCAACTTATTTAATTTATTTAAGATATTTTGGAATAAATTAAATTGAAAATAACAGATAAAAAACAATAAATTAAGAAAAAACGGATGAAAATAAAGTGAAAAATAAAAATAAAATATAAAATGAACAAATTTTTTCTTAAAAAAAAGGATGGAAGGGGAGAGAGAGAGAGAGGGTTCAGTAGAAAGAAGAGATGAAAAGAAAAGAATATAAAAAGTAAAGCTAAGGTAATTTTTGCAAGTAAAAGGTCAACATTAAGGTTAATACTTTATTTATAATTTGAAGAAACGATTTAAAACGAAAGAGAGAGGAGAGAGAGAGAGAAAGAGAGACAGGGAGAGAGAGAATAAAAACTTAAAGCTTAGGTTAGAAGTTTTTCTTTTCCTTCTATCTTTTTGTAGTCTTGTATATGAGAAAGAATAAATATTTAAAAAAAGGCCTTTAATAAATTTAAATATATAAAAAAAGGCCTTTTCAAGAAGTAAAAAATCTTTTATATTTTATAGAAACATTTAACATTATGTTCCATTAGCTTTTTATAAAATTTCAATTTCAAAAAGTTAGCAATCCTTCTTCTTTTTTCAAAAAAAAACTTATTTACTAGCTATTTATAGAGATATTGAATACTTATAAACGAGAGAGAGAGAGAGAGAGGAGAGAGGGAGAGAGAGATGGAAAAGAAAAGAGCTATAAATTAACATATTTATAAATATATATGTATATATGAACAATTTGATGGATTAGCACATAGAAAAAGGGGAAGGAAAAAAAAGCTTAAAAGAGGCATAGAATTTTCCTTTTTTTCTTTTTATTATAGGAAAAGCATTCGTCGATAAGTCTAATATAATATTTAGTCAACTATAAATAGCCTTTTTTTTTAAAAAAAAAATGAAAAAACTACATTCATCACATGTATATATGTATGTAACACTCTCTCTCCCTCTCTCTTTCTTTTTATTCTTTCACTCTCTCTCCCTCTCTCTCTTTTGTTTTTCTTTTCTTATTTATTTATAACCTGTTTCGTCATTTCCTTCCCTTTTTTTTTCGCTCTTTTTCTCTTCCCCTCCACCTCTCTCTCTCTCTCTCTCTCTTCTTTACCCCTCTTTCTTTCTTTCATTAGCAAATTTCTTATTTTAGTTTTCATTTTTATTTGCTTTTTCTTTTTTTGCTTTTTTTATTCACTTTCTTTCTTATTTTTTTTCCCTTCAAGTTTAACTTTCTCTCTCCCTCTCTCCCTCTCTCTCTCTCTCTCTCTTTTTTAAGGCTTACTTATCATTTTTCTTTTCATTCCAAATTCTAAAAAAAATTTTTTTTAGAATTTGAAATGAAAAGTTTAGAAATTGAATGCTTAGGATAACAAAAAGAAAGAAAGAAGAAATTTTTGTAAAAAAAATTTTTTTTTCTTTTATTTAAAAAACTTTTTAAACTTTTTTTTTTAATATTTACATTTTGGATTTGTATTTAATATTAAAAATTTTTCCTAAAATAGTCATTTATTTTTTTTTATTTAATTTATTAAAATTTTTGCAAAAAGAGAATATTTTTTATTAAAATTTGTGCAAAAAAGAAAAAATGAAATTAATATATTTGAGGAAAAAAAAAAAGTTTTTTTCTTTTTTTTTTTTTTTGATTTCCTTTTATTAAAGTAAGAAAAGAAAAGAAAGAAAGAAAAAAAAAGTTCGTATATAAATTTTTTAAAATTAATTTAATTGAATGAAAGTTGCTCCTTCCTTTTTTTTTTTTCTTTTGAGGTTAAACTCGTTTTCGTTCTTTTTTTTTAAAAAAAAAAATTATCATGACATAGTATAATAGTTGAAGATTTAATTGGATACGATAGGAATAAAGAAAAGTTATGAAAGGTACAGAGAGAAAGAGAGAGAGAGAGAGAGAGAGTGAAAGAGAAAGAGGAGAGGAGTAACATTAAAAGAAATATTTGTTTATCAAAAAAATTTTTTTGTTATTGTTGAAGTGTTTGGGTGAGCAACTAATACTTATAAGTAATGATAATGATATGATAATGTGATAAACTAATCATTCATTTATTTATTGATTTTTTCTTTTCATTTTAATATACTTTTACATATATTTAATAAATGTAATTAATATTAATATTTTCCTATCATTTTCATCATTAATCAAACATTTTTTCTTTTCGATTTATTAAATTTTTCATTTTGTTTACTTTACAAATTAAATATAAGGGAAAAAGAGAGAGAGAGAGAGTAAGCGAATAAATTTTTAATATATTCATTTTCATTAAATATACTGTTATGCTAAATGAAAATTTCACCTTTTTTTTTTCATTTGCATCAAATATGAAAAGTTAAATGCAAAAAAAAGGAGGGAGAAAGAGAGAGAGAGAGAGAGAAAGAAACGATTATTTGATTTTCATTATTTTAATTAATTTATATTTTTTTAGAATGATTGCTAATACTTTAAAGAAAATGATTTTGCTTGTTTTTTTTTTCTTTCATTATTTTTAATTAATTTATGTTTTGATTTTTAGGATGTTTACCAATACTTTATTTATAAACTATAATACTATTCGATGTTTATCAAAATTAGAAAATCAAATATAATTTCATAAAATTTGATCATATCATCTAAATTACTGCTATTCTTTTCTCTTTTTTTTTTTTTAACTTTCCTCCTCTCCCTCTCTCTCTCTCTCTCCCTCTCTCTATTCCATTTCATTTTATTTTCTATTAAATTTTTGCTTCCTAATCAAAACAATCGTCGCAATGTCAATCAATCAAAAATTACGACAAAAATATTGTAAGTTTTTCGTTTTTTTTTGTGTATGTCTGTCTCTCTGTTTGTTTGTTTGTTTGTTTAATTTTATTTATTGGATGAATAATTTCTAAATGTGATTTAATTTTGAAATGAAATTTTAATTGGTATTTGGCATAGAATTAGAAGATAACATTTAAAAAAAAAAAAAATGAAAGATCGTACAAAAATAATATATATTAGAAATTTGATAATATTAGAAATTTTTTCTTCCTTATATTAAATATACTTAATGGCGATTATCCTAATTTTTAATTTTGTAACTTAAAAAAAAATTTAAATGAATATTTTAAAATGAATGTATAACTCATGCTGAGTAAATAAAATTATTTTCATAATAATATGAAAATGTTTTATGGCCTTTTTGCCATTTCTTACTTTTTCTTTTTTTTTTTTGTTGCTGAATCTTTTTTAATTTTATTGGACTTTTTTAAAATTTTAATTCACATTTTTTTAATTTATTTGTTTATATACAATGTTTATTGTTTACATAAAATGTTTATTAATTTTTTCCAATTCATGTTAATTCTTTCTTTTTTTTTCTTGCATTTTTCTAAAATAATTTTTAATTATGTAATTTTTTTATTTTTATTTTCATCATAACAATTATAAACTTAACGCGGTGATATAATTGTACAATAATTAAATATCTGTTTAACATTATATTATTGCTTTTCTTAAATTCCAATTTTTTTTTTTTTGTTAATTTTAATTTGCAAGTTATTCATTAAATTAATTATGTGTAAATTATAAAATATAATTTAATCTAATATTAAAATTGAAATTTATTAGTCTAAAAATAATATTTCTCTAATTGTTCCCATTTGATTGAATTTAATTTTAAAATAATGCTGTCATCTTTTTTTTTTTTTTGAAATAAAACAAAAGATATGATTTAACAAGCTGTCTTTTCTTTTCTTTTTTTTTTTTTGTTCCAAACTAGAACTATCTATTATTAAAAGTGAAAAAAAAAGAAGGAGAAAAAAATAAAATCTCATCTCATCAATTGTTAGACTAATTTTAAGCCTAAAATAGATTTGAAATGGATTTTGCTTGATTGATTGAAATGAAAGAAAGAAAGAATGGAAAAATAAAAATTACTTCTCAAAAATTTTTTTTTTTTTTTTTGCTGAAAATGCAGCACTTTTCAAATACTAAAATTTTAATTGGATTTTTTCATAAATGAAATGTTTTATTTTATTATCCAAACTAAACTTATTATTTGAGAATTATTTTTTATAGATGTTAGTAAATATACTTATTATTCAATTTTTAATCACTTACAAAATAAACATTTACATTTGTATCGATTAATTCATATTAGTTAAAATTTTAAATATTAAAAAATCATCACTAACAATTAAGTTAAACTATAATTTTATTTTTAGTATTTATCATTTATAATAGAAATGTGATATAATTTTTAAATTTATAATTAATTTTAATTATATGAAATTAAATTTATCTCATATTTATTTTCTTTAGCAAATGGAAAAGAATTGTTTGAAATTGAAACGTTATTTATTATTCTTCTGGTTTCAGGTAATAAATGACTGCAAAAAAAAGTGGTACTTTATCTATTTTTACTTTGCTGTAAACAATATACTTATATATAAACCAATTTATATAATTTGTTTTGAGGATGTAAAATTAATTTAAAAATAAAACATAAAACATTCTAATGAATTAAATGAGTTTTAATATATAATTTATGCATGTTTTACTTCATTTCTTTTTCTTTTTTTTTTGGCATAAATGGAAATTTGTTTACATTCTCGTATAAACTCTATTAAATTAGAAAATGAAACCAAACAAAATTTTAAATTGCATTATTTATTATCGAAATAAATGTACGCAATACATTTATTATTGATATCATATGATATATGTATACATATATAAAATGGATGTGATAATTTTTAAGAAATTAAAAAAGTTTCAATAAATTAATTATTTAAAAGTTATTTTAAATTGAAAAAAAAATAATCCAACAAATATCATTGCAATACTTTTTATAGTTTAATCATATGCAAATAAATGAATTATTTATTATTTTAATACTTGCACTATGCATAAACATAAGTGGCAAAAGTATAAGAAATTAAAAAAAAAATACATATATTAATTTTTTCTTTTCATTTTAAAATTATTCATTCTTTATTGAAATTTTATTAATTGCAAAAGAAAAAAGTTATTCGTTTTCCTATTGAAAATTTTTTTTTCTGTAATTTAGCAAATAAATTTTATATTTTCTATTTTTTATTCTTTTATTAGTATAGATTAATTAATTGATATTTGCTTAATACTGAAATTATGAGGAAAAAAAATTTATATTCTAAATTCTCTTTGTTTCATTTTTTTTTTCATTTTAACAAAAAGAAAAAAAATTTTTTTTCTTATAATAAATGAGCAAAAAAAAGATTAAAAAACAGGAAAAAATTAGTTAATATTTGGTTAGCTTATGAAATGGAAAATAATTTGTGCATGCAAAATTTATTTTTATTTTTCTGTTTTTTTCGTTTTTTTTTTTATAAAATCATAAAAGATGATATGCTAACTTTGATTAGCATCATTATTTTGCTTTTTTTGGGATTTCAGTTAAAGAATTCTTGGAACGAGCACGAGAAGATTTCAAACAACGATGGGAAAATCCTACACAGGTATTATTAAATTTCAAATTAACAACAAATGTTAAAACTTTACGACGATTTCAATCATCCAATTTATTTGGAACATTAAAATTAAAAGAAATAAACTTTTTTTTTCTTTTTACAAATAATGCTATATCATCTTTTATCGTCCCTTATATTGCTTTTTTAAGCTCGCAAAAAAAGAAAATGCGACAAATTCGAAAGCTTTCTTAAATTTCTTTGCTGGTAGAAAAGTTGAATGCAATTTAATTTTTTATTTAAAATGCAAAATGTGAAATTTTTGATTATCTGTCATATTTATGTTAGATGCACAGATGAAATGGAATGGAATAGATAGAATAGACGAAATGGAATAGGAATAGATAGAATAGAATAGAATGGAATAGGAATAGAATAGAATAGAATAGAATAGAATAGAATAGAATAGAATAGAATAGAATAGAATAGAATAGAATAGAATAGAATAGAATAGAATAGAATAGAATAGAATAGAATAGAATAGAATAGAATAGAATAGAATAGAATAGGAATAGAATAGAATAGAATAGAATAGAATAGAATAGAATAGAATAGAATAGAATAGAATAGAATAGAATAGAATAGAATGGAATAGGAATAGAATGGAATAGGAATAGAATAGAATAGGAATAGAATAGAATAGGAATAGAATGGAATAGGAATAGGAATAGAATAGAATAGGAATAGAATAGAATAGGAATAGAATGGAATAGGAATAGAATAGAATAGGAATAGAATAGAATAGAATAGAATAGAATAGAATAGAATAGAATAGAATAGAATAGAATGGAATAGAATAGGATAGGAATAGAATAGAATAGATAGAATAGAATGGTATAGAATAGGATAGAGAGAATATATAATAGGTATATTCCAGTTGTTTATTTGAAGTGACATTTTTGTTTTTTTTGTTTTTCTTTTAACTAAAATTTCGTAAAATTTCAATCAATCATTGAGCTAACACTGCAAGAAAGAAAAAAGGAAAAAAAAAGTGTCATCCATCTTCCATTTATCGCTCATATTGTCATTCATCGATTTAGCATTGTTAGCTTTTGATGGATGTTTTGCACTTTTATCATTTCCGATAAAAGTAAGACTAATTTTCGAATTTAAAATTGAATAAAGTCTTAATGTTATGCAAGTTTTCCCTTCCTCTTTCTTAGTGTTATTTCATTTTAGTGAAAAAAAGTTTGTTGCACAAATTGGGTTCACATTCACTCTTTCATGCGCATTCTTTGGAGCATTAAAATTGTTTTCCGTTTTTTTTTTTCATGCAAAATATTTCTAAAAATAGAAATAAAAAAAAAAGGCAAAGCAAATAGCATATGCATGAAACGATTGACAAAATAGAAAGACTAAAAGAAGGGAAAAAGAAAAAAATAAATAAATGTCAGAAATGTGATTAAAATATTTAATACAAAATTATAATATTTTATCATTTTTTTTGATTATTTGAAAATTATCAATAAATTTTTCAATTAATAAAAAAATCAATAAATTTGTTTATTACTTTATCTTTTTTTTTTCATATACTGCTAGTATGGTGGTAGTCATCAAACTAAACAAATAACAAAGTTTAGGGTAAAAAATTCGAGCAATTTTTATTTATTCAAACTCTTGCAAACTGCTTACCATTTTTAAATGTTTCATATCACTATCACATTTTTTTTTAAGAATTTTTGGAATTTAAAATATATTTAATCGTACTGATAATAAAATTAAAAATTTTTAAAAATAAAATTGATAAAATTAAAAAGTAATATTTTTACATAAAAATCTTATAATAACATATATGTTATGGTGATAGAAATTCAATTGTAATAGTTAATTAAAAGTAAATTATTGACAAATGTACGATAATTATTTTCTATGCTTATTAATAAAAATGGAAAAAATGTTGATGCTAACTTTAGGAATATTTTGTTCAATAGTAATGATAATTATTAAAATTAAACTTGAAGTAAAATGTTAAAATTAAGGTTGAAATTAAAATTTAAATCAATAATTCAATATCATTTATCTAAGACGCATATATTTGGCTATTTTTGAAATGATTAAATAAAATTTTAAAAAAAGTTCAATTTATTTCATTTTTTCATAATTAGGCAACTAATTTTATTATATTTCAATTTTAATTAAAATTAGCTATATTTTTTAACCCAAAAAATTTAGTCAATTTTTTAATTTTTTTTTTTCTTTTAAATAAATGTAACAATTTTTTTATCGTTTTTAGAATACGGCACAATGAGATGATTTTGATTAAGTAAAATTTTGAAAAATAAAAGTGCAATTTATTTTATTTTTTCATAATTAGACAACTAATTTTATTGCATTTCAATTTTAATTAAAATTAGCCAAATTTTTTTATATAAAAATTTAGTCAATTTTTTAATTTTTTTAAACCTTTTTTAGAATACGGCACAATTAGATGATTTTGATCGAATCAAAACACTTGGTACCGGTTCATTTGGACGTGTAATGTTGGTAAAACATAAACAAAACGGGTCGTATTATGCGATGAAAATTTTGGATAAACAAAAAGTGGTGAAATTGAAACAAGTTGAACATACACTTAATGAAAAGCGTATACTTCAAGCAGTTGATTTCCCATTTTTGGTCAATATGGAATATTCTTTCAAAGTATATTTTATTTTTTTAAAAGAAAAAAAATTATAATTTTTTTCTTTTTTGTTTTTTTTTTCATTTCAACCTAAATTTATTTTAAAAGAGAAAGAGCAGAAAAAAAAAAGCAAATTGCAACTTTTTTGAATCGTTCATTTAAAAAAAAAAAAAAGTTTATATCTCAATTATTGTATAATTATGCTGAAAGTATAAAGGAAGCAGTAATAATTAATGTTATCAATTCAAATAATTTAAATAATTTCTTTTTTCTTAAATTCTTATGCTATTAGTAAAAAAAAAAAAGAATGTTAATTTTTGAAAATATTCATAGTATTATATAAAATTTGTTGGAAGAAAAATTTTACATTTTTTCTTTTTTTTTATAAAATTTGTTGGAAGAAAAATTTTACATTTTTTCTTTTTTTTTAAAAAAAAAAGAAAAAACTAATTTTGCTTAAATAATTGGATTATTTAGCTAGCATACAATCATTTTATTCTATAATAATAATAACTTATTGTTTTCTAGCAAAGTATTAAAAAAGTACAGCAAGCTGTTATTAGCCTAAAAATTTTCCATTTCTATCAAAGTAAACAAAATAAAATAATTTTTTTTTATTTTTCATTCTTTCCAATTGACTAAATTTAAAATTTTTTTTTTCAAAATATTTTCACACAATTTTCCTAACATTTATAATAATGCATTATGATTGTAACACATAAAAAAGAAAAAAAAACAACTTTGATAAAGAAAAAATGAAAAAAAAATTGAATAAACAAATTCATTGATTGAAAAGAGTAAAAAAAAAAAGAAAAAAACAAATAAACAAACAAATGAATGATTAATAATTAAAAAAAAAGAAAATAAAAAATTTAAAACTTTCTTTTTTGGTATTTTTGGTATTCAAATTTGAATTTTAGGATAATTCAAATTTGTATATGGTGCTCGAATTTATTGGTGGCGGTGAAATGTTCTCACATTTACGGCGCATTGGTCGTTTCAGTGAGCCACATTCTCGTTTTTATGCGGCGCAAATTGTGCTTGCATTCGAGTATCTGCATTCCCTTGACCTCATTTATCGAGATCTGAAACCTGAAAATCTCCTTATTGATAATACAGGCTATATTAAGGTATATTATTACTAGAATTAATACCTAAAATATTATAATTATATGGTAGGTATAGATTATATTTTATTATACATTTCATTTCTTTTCCCTTTTTTTTAATTAAAATTATTACTTATAATATTCAATTTTGTTCGTTTAGAAGTTTAAAAATAGCAGAATTTTTGAAATCATAAAATGCAAAAATGATCGAATTAATTTGTCAATTTTTATGTCAATTTTGTTTTCTTTTGCTTTAAATTAATTTTACTTTTTATTTTTTATTTTTTTTTAAAAAAAAAGGGGAAAAAAAAGGAAAGAGAAGAAAGATAGAGGGAGAATGAAAAGAATGAAAAGAAAGAAATGTTAGATAGAATTAATTTTTTTTATAATTGGAAATTTTCATCTTTAAATTGAAAAAACATTATGTATATAAATTTTTTCACATTGAATAGTAATTGTATAGTAATGAAATGAATTCATGTAAATAATTTAATTTGCTAATGTCAAATGTAAATAATTAACTCTCAAAAAAATATTGAAAAGTAAGTTATAATAAATAAATTTTAAAAATGACGAATTTTGCTAAAATAATGGTAAAAAACTTTTTTTTTTTGCGAAATTTTGATATTATCTAATATTATTTCAATAATATTTAAAAATAAGTGATTTACTCATCTTTTAGAATTAAATAAAGTAAAAATTTATTAATTATTAGGGAAAAATATGTTGAAATTAGTAAAAAAAAAAAAATCACATTATTTTTTTTTACAAATTTATCTATTTTGATATTATTATAAAATATGCAAAGTAAAAAAAAATTCATAATTGAGAAAAAATATTTCTTTTTTTTTTTTGAAAAAAATAATTGTAAAACAATTATTGTAACAGTGATATTTTTTCTTTTTTTTAAAAAAATACTTTAACTAATTAATGAAATTTTAAAATTTTTGGTAAGTTATTTTCTTTTTGTCTTAATTTTTACGATTTCTTTTTTTTGTTTATATTTATTATACAAATTTTTTATCTTTATAATAAATATATATTTCTTTTATAGATTACTGATTTTGGTTTTGCAAAACGTGTAAAAGGACGAACGTGGACTTTATGCGGTACGCCAGAATATCTTGCACCAGAAATTATTTTGAGCAAAGTAATTCTTTTTTTTTTTTTTTTTTTGATTTTACTTAAAAATTTTCAAATTTATTTTTCTTTATCTGTAAATTTTTACTGATGAAAATTACTAACAATGTTTTAAATAGAAATGATTAATGATGCAAAAAAAAAAAAAAGAAAGTATAAATTTGAGATATAATGAATCAATCAATACATAAATAAATAAATGGATAAATTAGTGGAACGAAAAGATTAATTAATTAATTAATTAAAAATAAGGGAACGAATTAATTATTCCTAATTTAAATTAGATTATTCCTAAATTTATTCCTAATTTAATTAATTAATTAAATATATCAAAAATTAATAATTATTTCTGAGAAATAATATTTATAATTTTTAGGGTTATAATAAAGCAGTCGATTGGTGGGCATTAGGTGTACTTATCTACGAAATGGCTGCTGGTTATCCGCCATTTTTTGCTGATCAACCGATACAAATTTATGAAAAAATTGTTTCCGGAAAAGTAATTTAATAATTTCTCTTTATTTATTAATAAATTAGTATTTAATTATATATATATGAAAATATTAGTTAATTAATTTATCTAAAAATGTTCTCTATTTAATTAATTCATGATCTAAATTGTTTTAATCGTAACTGCTGATTAATTTGATAACAACAGATTTTACATTCATTCATTTCTTTCTTTCTTTTTTTTTTCAAATTCTAAAAAAAGAAAAGATCACATTTTATTTTTTAATACTACTCAATAATACTTGTTTATTCCTAAATATTTAATTAATAATTAGTAACTTTTCAAAAAAAAAAAGTGATATATTAGCTAAAACGCATGTTAATTTATCTCTTAATTAATCAATTAATTAATATTTTTTTTGTGTAAACAACAATGAATACATACTGCTTCTGAAAATTTTTTAAATTTATTTCAATTACTAAAAGAAATAAATGAAATTTGATACTCTTTCTTTTAAAAAAAAAAATAAATAAATAAATAAGACAAAAGAAAGATAAAAGAAAGAAAAAGAAAAATTTTTTTGTTTTAAATTTTTTATGCTTTAGGTGAAATTTCCATCGTATTTTTCGAATGAACTTAAAGATTTATTGAAAAATTTGCTACAAGTTGATTTAACAAAAAGATATGGTAATTTAAAAAATGGTGTTGCCGATATTAAAAATCATAAATGGTTCAGTTCAACAGATTGGATTGCTATTTATCAAAGAAAGGTTTAAAATTTATATTATTTTTTTGAATAACTTTTTATAATATATCATTTTTTCCTTTTTTTTTTTTTTTTTGTTTGTATTAATAAAATATGATAAAAATTTATTAACAATCATTTAAAATATTTACAAACCATCATAACAATAAATGGAATTATTTTTAAAAAGAAAAATGGATTTATGATAATATTGCAAGAAAACTATTTCAAATTATTTTAAATTATACAACTTAAAATTATAAATTTATTATTAAAATTAGTTAATTAATAATTATATGTTTTCATTTTTTTCTTTGTTTAATTTATTGAAAAAGAAAGAATTTCTTTTTTTTTAGATAGATGCGCCATTTTTGCCCAAATGTCGTGGCGCTGGTGATGCGTCTAATTTTGATGATTATGAAGAAGAACCATTACGGATTTCAAGTACTGAAAAATGTGCAAAAGAATTTGCTGACTTTTAGCGAATTAATTTAAATAATTGACAAAAGAGAAAGAAGGAGAGAGAGAGAGAGAGAGAGAGGGAGGGAGAAAAAGAAAGAAAACAACAAAAAATTTTAAATGGAAAAATTTTTCTTTTTATTTAAAAGAAAAAAAATTGTAAATAAAAAAATAAGTAACAAACAAAATCATTTTTGTTTGCTTTGTTTTTGGTTTTGTTTTTCTCTCTGTCTTTTCCTTTCTAAGTTTTTTATCGATTCAACCTTTTTTTTTTTTTTTTTTTTTTGCTTTCAAATATTGTTTGATACGATATAATTTAATATCAATCGATCAACTCAATCCAATCAATCGATAAATCAATCGATTAGTCAATTAATCAGTGATTCAATCAATTAATGTGATTCGTTGAATGATTTTAATTTCTTTTAAATGTTATTATGGACGATTTATGTATTTTGCTCCTTTTTTTTTCTCTTTGTAATTTACATAAAGATATAAAAGAAAAATGGGTTCTTTTTTTTTTTTTTTTTTTTGTATATTTTAATTTAATTTTTAATTGAAATATTCTGTACAAAAGTTATATTAATTGAATATATTTAACAGAATTGATATTCTTTTCAATTCATTCTCTTTGTACAATTGTGTTGATAGTAACAAAAAAAGAAAGAAAGAAAGAAATTAAAAATTTATTTTAATTAGTTACCAATTATTTATTAATGATTAAACTCATTTTCTTGTCATTCAATGAATTTAAAAAAATAAAAAATTTTGATCATTTTCTTTTTTATTAATTAAAAAAATGATAACGCAAAATTACTTTGCAATTTCTTTTTTTTCTTCAATTTTTTGTTTCTATCAATTTATTTATCTTTCTCAAGTTTTTTTTTTTTAATTTTTAATTTAAAACGAATTTTACATATTAAATTCTTCGCATTTTTTTAATTATCATTAATTGATTGGATGAAAATATTAAACAAAACAAAAATAAAATCAATTTTCTACGCCCAGCACTGCAATGATATTATCTTTCTAGTCATTTCAATAATATATTGGTGATAGTGTCTCATTAGCTACTCTTATTGTGGTTATTATTATCATTATTATCAATCATTATTATTATAACATTATTGTTATCACCATCATTTTTATTATTATCACTATTACTATTATTATTGTTATTATCAGCAGTCATTATTATTAGTTTTATCATTATTATCATTATTATTGCTGTCAATATTAACACTATATTATTATTAGTTTATCATTATTATCATTATTAGTATTATTATTATTATTAGTTCTATCATTACTATTATTATTGTTATTATTAGTTTTATTATTATTATTATTATTATTGTTATCATTACTGTGATTAATTTATTCATTAATTGTAAATATGTAACTAAAGTAAATTTATTCAGAAATAAATAATCGCTTATGTCAAATTAAAGCATTAGGATAATTAGGAAAAGTTCAATATGTGTTTATATTGGATTTCTATCAGATTTCTAATATTTTATATTTTTATTAATTTTCAAAGTATTTTACAGCACTAATTAATCATATAATTAAATCAGGAATATTACTTACTTGATTCTGAAATTGATTCTGAAATTCACTTTGAAAAAAATTCAAAGAGAGTTTTTCTTTTTTTTTTTGATTTAAAAACTTTGATTTTATCTTATTGAAAATAATTTCATTTTTATTCCTTTTGCTAATTACTATAATGACGTAATCTGGCAACAATAGCAATAATAGTTATTAATAGTAATAATAATAATGATAATAATAATAATAATAATAATAAATTGTAAAATTGAATAGCTATAATTAAAAACAATAATAATCATTCAACAATGTCTGTTCATTTCATTTACAAATGTTGTAATTTTATTGCTTTATTTTTTTTTTTAATTATCATTTCAAACTTTAATATATTATTATTTTAATTAATTTAGTTCTTTTACTTCATTTTTAAATTTGCTCTCTCTTTTTCAAATATTTTTGCTTTTAATGATAATTTTATGTCATAAAAAATTGCTAAATCATATTTGTTGATTTTTCTTCTTTTTGTTTTACTTTTACTTTTATAAATTCAATTCATTTCTTAATATTATAAAATATATTGTGAATAAATTGTGTGATAATTTAGAAAAAATACAAAATTGTACGATAAGTTTTACTTTAATGTATAATATGTTTTATTTTTCCTTCAGAATTTCGAATAAATTATTCAAAGCAATGTTCTTTTTACATAATAATTCAATTCTTTTAATTGAGATTTTCAGATAAAAAAAAGAGAGAGAGAGAGAGAAGAAGAGAGAGAGAGAAAAAAAACTGAGTTAAAAAATTAATATATTTTTGAATAAGTTATATTTGAAAAATTCAATTGCTGCTAAAAAGTAAATTTCGATAATTAATTTTATTCAAAATGTTACTGCTAGTTTTAAATTATTTTATATTATTTTTATTCTTTTTTAATTTTTCATTTTTTAAAATTGTCATTTTTCAACAGATAATTTTAATTAGAATAGTTTCTTTTTTTCATTAATTTTCACTAATATTTTCTCTCTTTTATCTATTTTCACATTTAAAAAAAATTTCTTCCATTTAAAATTGATTTAATTTTAATTATAATTAATAAAAGGTATTTAGATTTATTCATTTGACAATTGAAATTTACAAATTAATGAAATGAATTTAATTCTTTTTTTCGTTTTTTTCGACAATTTTTTTTAATGATAATTTTATTATTATTACTTTTCCTATTATTATTTTTATTAATTAATATTACGATTACTGCAATATAACTACCGAAATTAATTTCAGTTGCAAAATAATTTCATTTACATCTGATATGATTCACTTTTGTTAGCAAATAAATATAAATGATTTTGATTTCTCAATTTAATTCACGGGTAATTAATAAAAATAAGAAATAAAACAAAGAAATTGTGAAAATTATAAAAATTTTAATCATCTGATTTTAATTATTTAATGCTAAAAAATACTAAAAAAAAAGTAAATTTTTCAATCAAATCTTTATTTTAATAAAGATTTAAAAAATTTTTATATATATTTTTTATATATTTAAAAATTTTTATTTTTATATTTATATATCTATCAACAAAAATTTCACTGTTATTTAATAATTCATTGTTTATGCAATAATTCAAAAACTATTACAAATTTATGAATAAATATTTGAAAAATAAAAAAGAAAAATATTTCTAATTTTACTAATATTTCAACAAATAAATAAATAAATAAATAAATAAATAAACATCATTTTTTGCTTATTATTTGCTTTTGAAATTCATTTTTTCTCTAAAATTTTCAAATAACATTTTATATGTTCGCTAATTACTGCCTATGAAAAAATAAAATAAAATTTTAAAAAAAAATTTAAAAAATTTTGAATTTAAAAAAAAAATTCTCAATTATCCTTTTCATTGTTTTAATTTTTTTTTCATTTATAGAAAATTTGAAAAATTTCTATATAAAATCACTAATTATAAGGATTTTAGTTTTTCTTTTTTTTTATTTCTGAATGCATTGTAAATTGTATTTTTGCAACTTTCTGAGCTATTTCCATTCAAATTAATTTTAATTTCTATTAAAATTTAAATGAAACGTTGTAAGCATAATGTGTACTGTTAAAATGTAAATAAATTACATTAGAAATACTAATATATTTCTAAAATTGACCTTAATTAGCAATCATTTTTTTTTCAAAAAATAATATCAAAAAAAAAAAAAAAAAAATGAAACAAAATTAAGAAACGGTAAAAAAAAAACGAAGAAAACAAATACAAAATAATTTATATATAAAGTTTAATTAAAAGTACTATTCATTATCTATCAAATAAATCTTTTTTTTGAGTATTTCTTTTCCATTTTTCATTTTTTTATCAGTTATAATTGAAGTAAATCATTAAACAATGTTACTATAAAAAGTTCATCCAATTAAAAAAAAGTTTGCAAATTTGACTAATTTAAAAGCTAACAAAAATTGCAGTTTGAATGGAAGTAAAAATGGAATAAGAAAAAAGAAAAAACCAACTAAGAAATAAATAAGCTAATTCATTCTAATTCATTAATTACTGTCTTTGAAATTCCAAAAATTTCATTTCTAAAAACTCTTTATAAAAATTATTCTCTGTAAAACTTTTGTTTACATTGGAATATGGTGGAATATTTAACAATGAAGATTAGAAATAATAATAATAATAATAATAATAATAATAATAATAATAATAATAATAATAATAATAATAATAATAATAATAATAATAATAATAATAATAATAATAATAATAATAGTAATAAGTGATAGCAATAGTGATAATAATTTAGAATTCATAAAACGAAAACTCAATTTTAATTTAAAAATATCAATTTCACATGATGATTCATTGTTTAATGATTTAAAACAAACATTTGATTACGTATACTTTGAGAAATGCATTTTGTAATAAACAAACAAATGTTTATTTCATATTTAATTTTATGCAATTCTATGTGAATATCCAATAATTCATCATTAATTTAGCAAGGTGATGTATATCAATTAAAAGCATTTTAAAAATAATTTAAATAATTTTATTATTTCGATTAATTAATATTTCTAAACCGTATAAATCATCTTTTAACAGATTTACCATTAGCAAATTCTGATTTTTATACATTTTTTCTTAATTCTGTAAAGATTTTAACTTTTTTATTCATTTGATGACAAAATATTTGCACATAATTAGTGATAACTTTAACTGAATGCATAAAATTCATTCATATGTTGGATAAAAATAATAATAAATGAAGATTAAACCTAATATATTTTCTTATTGCTAATATAATATACATAATAATCAAATAATTAAATTTCCTAAATGATATTATCTTTCATTTAATATTATTGAAATTACATTGTTATTCAGTAATATTTATTATATAAAAGCATTTAAATATCAAATATATATTTGTACATAATCATCTTATCAGTTAAATATAAATATGTTATCACTTAATCACATATAAAACATATTTAATGATTATTCAGCAAAATTTTAGACTAATTACCCAATTTATCATTTTCACTTAAAACAAGATAAATGATAATTTTGCTAATTTTAATATATCAATTTTAAAGATTGTTAATTTTAAATAATGTAATAAATAACATTCAAAAAGAAAATGATGAATCGAATTCTGGAATAAATAATTAACAATCAAAATTGCAATTAAATATTTTTCCATTTCCAATTTCTATCATAAATATTTTGCAATTCTCTACTTCATCCCATTCTTTCATCTGATAAAATGATTTTATCATTTTATCTATCCAATACAAAATTTCGCAAAATATTTTTATTAAAATGACCGAATTTCTAATTTCATTTCAGATAAAACTAATTGAATTCATATCATTCAATTGTTACAATTCATTCATCCTTTTGTATTGTTCGTTTCTTCAATTTGCCAATTAATTATTTCATAGCATTTAATTTCTTTTTTTCTTCCTTTCAATCTTATCGGATGAATAATTTAAATTATATCAAATTTAAAATCATTGCTTTCATTTTTAAAATCGTTTTCATTTTATTTTTTTTTTTTGCTTGAAATATAAATTAACTATAAACTAAATTTAATTGAAATATAATTGATTGTGAATTTTTGTATGTAAAGCATTTCTAATATTATTATAATCATTTCTTATCTTACAATGATGAATGTTAAAATTAATTGAATAATAGAAACGAAAATTATTGCTGTAACAAAATTTCAACAAATTTATTGAAAATTAATAAATATAAATAGTTTATTGAAAAACAAAAAAAATCTTCTGCAATAAATTTCAATGAATTTCCACATTCTAAACAATTTAAGAGTAATGCAATTCAATTATTTAATTTTAATCACTTAACAGTAATACAAATTTGATCATTTAAATTCCACTTTACTACTTTATCCAAAATTTCTTTTAACTTAAAATGTAGAACCATATTAGTAGAAAATCAATTTCAAGTTAAATTTTTTTTTTTTGAACTTATTATTTTTATTTTCAGGATAATTATGCTATCATTGATAGTTGTAATCATTTGTACATATTGGTCAAATTTAATTGCTCAACAACAACAACAGGATAATATTAACTTGAACAATAATTATCCCATTGCGCAGTTATTGTCGCAGGAACAATCAAATAATAATATTAGTGCAGCAGTAAATATTTACCCAACACGTCATTCAACTATGAATAGCAAACAAATTACCGAATTAAAAACTAGGATGCGTAATTTACCGGTATATTATCACAACCAACAACAAAAACAAAAACAACAACAACAACAGAATAAACAACAACAGAACAAAGAACAAATTTTAATGAAAATGTATACTACACATTTGATTGATCAATCATCATCACCACAACAGATCATTTCTGGACAAATAACGCCATTATTGCAACAATTTGCGCCTAATATGCAACAGCAATTTCCGCCTAATGCGCAAGAACAACAACAACAGTTTCCGCTTAATGTACAGCAATATATTTCAACAAGCAATCAATCAATTATCATTCAACCATCACCTAATTCTCAAAGTTTACCATACAAAAATATCACCAATCAACAATCATTAACTTCAAATATTATTGAACAGGAAAAATTTGATCAACTTTTTCCACTCTGGAATACCTATCAATCAATTATCACTACTGATCAATCATTATCAAATGCTGAACGACGTCTAAAGAAATGTTGCTCTAGGTTAAATGAAGCAGATACAGAATGCAAGAAACATTTTTGTGGGTTTGATGCATTAGAACCTCGAACGGTTTCTTTTTCAAATATTTAAAAAAAAAAAACCATAAATTTGAATTAGTTTGTTATAAGTGTAAAATTTAAAAAAAAAAAAGATCAAGAATTAAGACTGAAATTTAGTAATTCATACTATTTAAAATACAAAAACAAAAAAAAAAAAAAAAAATTGAATTTCCCTTCATAATGAAAATAATAAAAACCTAAAAATAAGATATAGATAACGAAATTTAATATTTAATTTTGAATCCTTTAAATTGCATTTTCCTAAGTTTAGTTTTAATTACTACTTAGATAGAAAAAAATAATAAAAAAGATAGAAATAATGTTATTTTAAGATACTTTACGAGCTAATAAATTAGTGTAGTAATTAAAAAATAAATAAATAAGCAAAATATTTGTAATAAATTCAAAGTTTTTTTAGATTCTTATTTATTTATTAATTTGTCAATCACGTGGTCCAACAGTTGGTCAAATGTGGGATTGTGCTTCATCAAGACAAAATCATACTGCTTGTTGTATTAGAAAAGGAGTTCGACCAGCATGTCAAATTTATTGTGAAACAACTAATGGAGTACCAACTGATTACAGTAAATATTTGTTCTGCTTAAGTAATTTCCGTCAAATACGTGACTGTTTCCGTGAACACTTAGAAACGAATCATAATTTGTACGGTGATTGGTAAGAAATTTAGTGAAAAATCATTTAAGAAAATTACCTTTTCTTTTGAAGAAATTTTAATGTCTTTTTCTTTTGACAAATAAATGAATTACTAAAAAAAAAAAAAAATATTCTCAGTAAAATGATATTATTTATCATTCTTTTTCTTCTTATTTTATATATTTCAAAGTAATAAATTCCAAAATATCTTCTAAAAAATTTTATCACTACCTCAAATTTTTTCCATTTCTTTCCCATTGATTGTAATTACACATCAAAATACGGGTCTACATTAATTAAAATTATTTAATATTTAAATAGATACAGATAGATCATTCTATTTCATATATATCTGCTGACTTTCAATAGCATTTATTTTTTCTACAAAAGTAAATCCTCTAACATTGTATTTCTCATACTTCGTTCTATCGTTAAGTGATATAGTTATTATCATTTATATCGAATTTTAATTATTACTACTGACAAATAGTTACTGATCGTCTAAGCATATTGATTTAACAAATAGTGATAGTTTTGACTAGTGATAATACTTCTAAGTGATAAAAATTTCTGGTCTTATAATACATATAATGCTTCCTTTACAAAATATATGATAATGATATTGTAAATAAAATAATCAATAACATTTTAATGATAATCAACAACTGAAAGAAGGCAAAAATCGAAGACCAAAATGGAACAAAAGAAGTTATAGATGACAAAAAATTAAGAAACTTTGACGTCCAATTACAAAAATTACATACATAGCAAAAAAATACCTGCTAATATACTATAAAATAATACAGGTAATGCAGACTACTTCAATAAAATCTGGTAGATTACTTTTTAAATCAATAATAAGTTGTGCAGTGGATTAAAAGACAAAAAAAAAAAAACTCAACTTTTAATAAAAAAATTCATCATCATTAGCTCTAGGCTACCCAATCTCAAAGCTTTATATTTGTATTAGTACGTCCTCTAATATAAATGGAAGGGTAATTTTTTTTACCTTTTTTGGCCAAATTCGATTAACCTGACTAATATTTTGACTAATGCGCACTCTTATAAAATAAACCACTTTTAAATAGTATGAATTTGGTCCTTATAATTATAAATTCATTTTCAATATTGTTGACAAAATCAATTAACCTATTGAATCCTCTGCAACTTACACATATACATTGGACCACAGTTAGAGGGTAAAAAAGGAAGTATAAGAATACCTCTGCGAGGTTTATCACTAAATCGATATATATTTCTGAAATGTGATACCATTTGCGACAATGACAACTCTACCACCTGTAATAATAACTCAATTAACTTTTTGTTTTCTTTTTACTAATCCTTTATAGTTTATTATTTGGAATTAAAAATAAGATAGTTTTTTTTTTAAGATTGTGTAAACTATTTCACCTTTATTCCAAAATGTTCATCTGCTATTGCTACACTATTTTCAACAACTCCCTCATTTTGCACTGGAGATAATGCACATGTTGAGTAAACAACATAACCACCAACTTGAACAGATCGTAATGCATTGCTGAAAAAAAAAAAAAAAAAAAAAAAGAAAGGAAAAAAAGACGATTAAAAACAACGTAGCGATATCAATATGACTATTTTGTAGTATTATACGAAAGAAAAAAGAAAAAAAGTTTTAATGATAATAATGATAGAATTGCATATCTGATTATGTGTAAAGTCTCATCTTAAAGAAGTAAAAATCTAAATGTTAAATTTAAGAGTTTAATTTATATAATAATATTAAACTGTAGCAATTTTTACAAATTTTTTTTCTTTTTTTACAAGTTGTCAATTCTGTGCTGTAATGTCGCATTCAAATTAAGCTTGATAAAGAGGAGAAGATAGAGAAGTAAATCAACAAAAATGCTCTAAGGATAGTTATCAAATTTAAACTTACACAAGCATTCGTGTTTGTACTTCTGGTAAATTTAAACGCTGTTCAGTTAGTTGAGTTGAGTATAGATTACCATCATCTCTGTTTACTGACAAACGATCGGAAGTGCATGGTGCATCCACCAAAACCTTTACATATAATATTATAATAACAGAGACAAAGACTACAGAGATTTTTAAAAGAAATAATTATAACATTTGATGCTTTTATTTTAAGAAAATTTTTATTAAAATGAAAGAGAATGGAACAATAAATTGATCGCATACATCTCCCTAAAACTTTTATTGTAATGCAAAATGCAAAAAAAAAAAAAAAAAAAAAGAAAGAAATCAGTTATCATACCCTATCATAAGTGTTACATTCATCCCAATAATCCAATACTGATGCATCTTTTCTCTTCAATATTATTCGATTAGCAACATCTGAATTAACCGGTATATATTGTCCCAATGCTCGATGCAACTGACCCAAGCGGCTTTGTTTATTGTCATTGCATATTAAATTATCTTTAAAAAAAATACATTACTTGACATACAGAAGTAATAAACAACAGCAAAGAACGATTTATTTATGATAAAATAATATCAAATTAATTTCAAATTAAATAATCATGATATTTCATGCATTTAATTTATAGTAAAACTTTAATGAAATGAGAGGAAATATAAAAGTAAGTTATCAAAAATCATGGAAAATGTCCACTGTCGTTAGTTAGCTTGATGAAATAATTGTCAAAAATTATAGAAATTTTCAGCATAACACAGAGGAACAGAATGAGGCAAATAACTAACTCATTAAACCAGTCTGTACAATTAACAAACTTTTTCCGCCTGGTGCAGCACACATGTCTAAGACATTTGACTCTTCGGTTAAACCCAAAGCTAGAACGGGCGCAAGTGAGCCTCCATCAAGAAGCCACCAACCTAAAAATAATAATGTATATTAGAAAACATACGCACGCTTCATATATACGTATCTATAGTGGGATACGAATAAACAAATATATATATATATATATATATATAGCTAATAAATAAATTCAATAAAATATATTAAAAAATGTTGACACATTGAAAATTTCACCTGGAGTTCCAACTTCATCTTTCGGAGGGGGTGGATAATCAGATAAATCACCCTTTGGAAAGGAATATACAATCAGTTCAGTTGGATATGTTAATACATGACTTTTTGTCGGTAACTCAACGCATTGTCCTTCAAAACCAGTGATACTGAAATGAATTAAATTTAACTTTTGACTAAATTTAAATACAAAATTTAATGATAAATTATTCAAGTATCAAACTTGATAGCGTTTTATAAAAAGTTTACAAATATTCAAACATAAAATTTAGTAATGAAATTTCAATTAAACAAACAAATATGTTCAAACAGAGAAAAAAAAAAAGAAACAAAACCAAAAAATGACCATTAAAAATATTTTACTTAATCTTTCTGATATTTCCATCTTTCGATAACTGAGTTTTGAAATGTGCTCGTTCCTCTAACGATGCAATTTCACCAGACTGTCGAAAATGTCCCAATCCTCCCTCACCACGCATATATATAGAATCCAATTCATTTTCAACCTTTATTGAAATGGAAAATTTCTTCAATAATATATGAATTTCCATATAAGGAATTTAACTTTATATCAGATGCTACATCTTGAAACACTGTAAACTTCGAAACAGCATAAATTAAAATATTACAAACAGTTAATCTTTTCGTGCAATTACCGAATCATTAGTTTTCGACGTATCATTTGATGATATCGGTTCATATTCTTCGTACTCTACATGTGTATTATCCTTCTTATCAACTTTTTGATGAAGTTTTTCCAGAACATTATATGCGCCTAGATCTTTTAACTGTGCTTCATTTTTCTGTCGATCTCTATAAAAATGAAGGAAGGAAATTACATCAAACTTAAGCAATATAAATGAAAAGCGTAAAACGCAATGTAAGTAAAGAAAATGAAACTAAAAAAAAAAAAGAAAGAAAAAGAAAAGTATTTCTATGCTTTCTCATTTAATTCATTGAAGAATGTTTTCATTGAAAATCTGGATAATTTTTGGAAAAATTGCAAATAACTGACCTTGAAAATTTATTTAACACAGCAAAATATTTATTCGGTGTAAGTAATCCTAAACGTATTGATGGCCATTGATTACCATATACTGGTCCATAATAGAAATCGAAATTATCCATCGCAATCATTGTTGGTGTTTTAAATGGTCGTGTTTTTGCATACTTTTCTTTGAACAATTTCGAAGCAAAATGCCTTTTTGACGTAAATTTCGTTGAAACACCTAATGACGACGTTACGTCAATGATTCGTTTACTAATCATAATTCCTGCAATTTTTATTTCATGTTATAATTAGTGAGAAAAAAAAATCTCATTTCTATTCTGATTCTATAAGACAAAAGAGGAAATGTATTAATTAGTATGTTAAATTAACATTTTGAACTTTGTCAAAATACTTCTAAAATGAAATGAAACTAAGTCATTTTATGAAGTATTGTGAAACACTACATTAAATATTTTCGAGTGTTATATCAAAATTTCCCTATGCTTTACATACAATAATTTCGAGGTATTGCGTTAAGCGTCCTGAAAATTCAAAAAAAAACTTTACTAATTACTAGTAATTTTGTTAATGGGATAATATTAACCATTCGGGAATTCAGACGCATAGAAGAAAAGATAACCGTTTAACTATTTTATAATTATTTTATATCATCTGCTCATCTTCCTCTTCCTACCTTATCCCACCCGAGTAATTTATGAATAACAATATTAATTGATTAAAAAATGTTTGAATAATATTTATTGCAACATTTTTTTTCTCAGTATATAATCGATTCACTGAATTAATCATATAAAAAATTTATGTGATTCAAAAAAATAAGACAGAAATAATACAAAAAAGAAAACTTCCAGATAATTCATTTTTCTTAAATGAGAAACTCTCGAGAAATCTTTGAAGTTACATGCGACCACATGTCAATATAACTAGCAAAATTATAATCGATGCATGTCACTATTATTTCAATCGAAAGTTATATGTATGGAAAAAACTTCAATTCAAATATATTTCAATATATTTA